GCAAACTGATGTTTATGCCATCTCATAGAGGACATTTAGCATTACCCCTACTAAAAGTTCAATGAAAAATTTTGGAGCCATTTGAGAGAAAATCTTGTTTTTGTTATTTTTTTAATTGTAAATATTGCATGAAAACTTCTAAAATTTTCAAAAAAAATAAATTACATGATAAAGAAAGAACTCACTATGCAGAACAAATTTCATTTGAAGGAAAAAATCTCTATCTTCAATTTTGTAGTTGTAGGAAGTGGCCCAAAAAAGTTTAAAATTTGCAAAACCTTTCTTCAATATTTGAGGGTGGATTACATAAAGCCCATGAAATTTTCAAAAATTCAGAGTTAACCCTGAAAATTGGACCTATGCCACCTTTATAAGTGTATATTACTCTATTCTAACAAGAAATTTAAAGAAAAAGTTTGGAGCCATTTTTGAGAAAATTTTTAAAATGTCCTGAGGGCTTCATGTAAAGTATCCTCAAGTTTTTCAAAATCCAAACGCCTCCAGACTAGTTAGATCAATTGGGGAATATCCATTTTGGGAAAAAATACTACAAACGGTTGAAGCGCTAGAGGTGTTCATAGACAGATAGACAGACAGGCAGACTGTTTCACCTCCTATAATTCCTCAATTCATTTTCATAGAGGTGTTCCCATGTTTCTTCTGAATTCTTAGTTCATAATTCAAAGACATTCTGATTATACTTTCATCAAATATTCTTAATTCGATTTTTTTCCATTTTATTCTGTAATGTTTAATGTTTAATTTACACTTAGAATGTTTTATATAGAGAGAGAAATACATTTCACATAAATTTTGCTTCAAAGAAATCAAATTAATGACAAAAATCTCAAAAACAACTCCAAATCATTTTGTTTAACTTTTTTCTAATGGTGAAAAGGACCAGTGGTGCTTCAACAGTACATAATTTCCCACATTATTTTTAAGTTTCGCAGTTTTTGAAAATTCAGAAAGTTCAACATAAATGGTAACTGTGCCATTTTTACTATGCCGTCGGATACTGTGCTGTCCGTTACTGTCCTGTGCGTTACTGTGCCATCCTTTACTATATTTGAGGAAAAAGGTAATAAAAAATTTGGTGTTGTGTTTTAAGATTTTTGTTTGTAAATTGCAGCAATTTCAAACAGCAATTTTGGAAAACCAATTTTTTTTGCAAACATTACTCCATGACCTTACTTACAGAGAAATTTTTTTGAACAGAATTCATTTGAGAAGAAAATTTCATCAATATTGTACTTTTGCAATGTTATTTTTTCCAATTTTTCGGAAACACAGAGTTCACTGAAAATCTACAAAAACTTTAATTGTTCGTTGATATATGTGAGGAGAAAATTTAAAGAACAAAGGATATAGCAGAATAAGATAGGTGGAATTGGCCCATGACCAAACTAGAAGAGGTTAATATTATCTTGTTCTACTCCCAAAATAACCTAGAAAACAAATTTTTATTATTGTTTATGTTACTATAGTGACATAACGAAAATTGTGTTTTTTACCTTTTCTCACTTTTGACGCTCTAACTTGGCAGAATTTAGATTATTTTTACATGTAACATAACAAACTGTATTCTTTAGACAATTTTCTAAGATATGCACTAATTTCTTATGATCTTTTTGATATTTAAGACCAACATAAAAGATTATTTTCACTGAACACCTTACTTTTTAAAATTTGTTTAACTTTTTTTTAGTATGTCAAGGCCAATGCTTGATTTCATAACAAAATGACGATTTTCATTTGATTCCTTGTCCAAAAATACATAAATAGTCGACTGATAGATTCAATTTCAGTAGAAATGCATCAGTTATGTCTTAAATCTTTTTTTTTTTTTTTATTGTAACGTCTGTAGATCGCTCTTATATTTTTCATTGACATAATTCGAGAGGAAATACAAATGAAAAGAGCGACATGTATGGATAAACAAAGAAGCAGCTATTTCCCAATGAATCTTTAATGTTCTATGATCTAATGTATGCCTGCTACCTTTGCCATGAAGTAGCGTTGCCAATGGAAGGGCAAAGTGAAGGTTTGTATCTCTTGCAAAGGTTCATTTTTAATCATTTTTTATTTAAAATGCAGTCTGAATCATCTAACAAAAATATTGCAACAATCTTTAACATTCAAAATGAACAGCTTGAATGAAATATATGTGATTTTATTTTAGAATCTTTTGAAAATACATTTTTTCAATTTGTTTTGGTGTAAATAATCTTACTAGCAAAGATTTGATTGAACATCATAATTTAACAGTTGCACAAAAACTGTTACATTTAGACAGGAATCAACTTGTTTTGATATTTGATGGCACTTACATAAAACATGAGAAAAGTACTAACAATGAGTGGCAAACACAAGCATATTCTTGACAAAAAAGAATTCCACTGTGCAAGTTTTTTACTGTTTGCACTACTGATAGATATGTTGTTGCATGTTGATTGCTGTGAGTCTGAAGCAATAAAAAATTATGCCCAAATAATACAAGAAGTTTTGAATGACCCAAAGGATATCGTTACCTTAATGAAACCTGGTGATATGCATTGTTGACCATGATTCTGAGATGTAAGTCTATTAGAAAAAAATTCAAAGTTCTTATGCCAGCATTAAAAAGTAAAAAGAACAAACAATTATCTACTGAAGTGCATCCTGCATTGTTTCAAAATAATGTTGGGTTGTTGACAACGTCCATTGACAAATCAGTCAGACATTCAAATTACTACACAACCATTTTGATAATAAGATGATTACAAAAGTTTCTGTACATTGCATAATTACAAACTTTTTAATAATGTATTAGGCAAACGATTGAATTCAGATTATGGCATGTGTGATGAGATTGATAATATGTGAATATGACAAAACACAACTAAATAAAATAATTAAAGTGCGCATGAGATCCCGGCATATTAAGAGCAAAACTTACAAGTGCTGTATAGACTATAAGCCATTTTCTGATGGATGTGCTAAGATTCAACGCTTGTCCTGTGAAAGTCCTAACGGATTAAGAACAGTTGGATGCCGTTCGCATGTTGCAGCTGTAATCTATTATCAATAGATTCCAAAATATCAAAGAAAAAATTCTTAGACCAGCTGTGAAGTTATCAAAACTCTTCAATCATGAAGAGATATACCATTATTGACCAACTGATGAGCGACGATGAAGGTGAAAACTAAGGAATAGTAAAAATTACAAGAAAATAAAGCTGTACAAAAAATTGAAAATAAATTTAAAGAGCTACATATTTGCTATAATAATAAATTGTATTGTGTTAAATGTTTGAATACAGATTACATCATTAGTGAAAACCATTTTCAATTACTTTATTACAATTTTAAAATTTTTTTAAAAAAATTATTCTAGTTGAATTGTATGTTATGTATCAATTACTCATTTTCCTCTTATTCAAAAACTTAAATATATTACAATTATGTATATTCTCAGGTGTATGAAATATAAGTTGGTAGTTTAAACAGATCAAAGGAAACATAATTTTTCTATCAATCGAGAAAAAACAAAAATCCTGAGTTAAAAATCACAGAAACTTATAATAGTTTATTAAACACAAAACAAATTAAGATTGTGAAATTGATATGTTTCGGAAACGGGGTGGACCACGAAGTGAAATTGAATGTACCAATCGATTATTTATTTATTTTTGGTCAGAGAATCCAATGAATATAGTCACTTTATTCCTAAATCAAGCTTTCACCTTGAAATTCAAAAAAAAAACAACTTGTAAACAAATTAAGAGAGTAAGATGTTCAGTAAAAAGAATCCCTTATGTTAGTCTTCAACATCAAAAATATTATAAGAAATGAGTGTGTTTCTTACAAAATTGTCTAAAGAATACAGATTGTTACATGTAAAAGAAATCTAAATTCCGTCAAGATACAGTGTCAAAAGTGAGAAAAGGTTAAAACCACATTTTTCAATATTATGTCACTATAGAAAATAACATAAACGACTATAAAAATTTGTTTTTCTAGTGAATTTTGGGAGTAGGATAAGAGAATATCATCCTCTTCTAGTTTGATCACTGTGCCCTTCATCATTTGATAATTTGAATGCACTTGCAACTACATCACCACAATTAGTTGAGGAAAATTAAAGCAGGATAATGAAAAGTGCAGAAAAGTGGTTGAAACCCAAAAAAAGGCAAGGGAACTGTTGAACACTAGAGAGAAGAACAAAACTGTAGCCCAAGTATGCAAGAGTGTAGGCCCAAGAGTGTAGATAAAACGCATTAATTCTCCCGTTAAAGAAGACTAAAAAAAAATATATGAAAATGAAGTTTTTCAAAACTGACACAATTTTTTTAAGATTCATAGTAAATGCTTTCTTGCTTTCTATACTATATGCTTTCTTGTATTTACCATTCATGATTACCTGCTATATTTTCCTAATTCCTTGTTTTTAATGAGAAGGGTGGTCTGAGGTACAGTGTTGAGTACTTTACAGATTGTTTTTAATGAATTTTTAAATTTAAATATGAAATGGAAAATTATGTAAGAATTACCATAAAAGAGGTTAGAGTTTCTGTTGGAGCACAAAGCACGAGCAGATTTCGTACATCAAAGTAGAAAAACATGCCAATAAATGAAGTGGCAGAAGTACATGTCTCTCCTAATAATTAACTTTTCTTTTTCTTACTAGTTCACTTGGCTCTTCTCAAAACTATGCATGATTAATGTAATTGTAATTTACCTATTGTGATTAAAAATTAAATGTGTCCACTTACTCAAAGAATTTCAATGGTATTTTTCACTTTCGACATTTGCAACAAAACTTTGACCTACCTTTGTTAGCATGGATTGCTGAGGGATTTGGATTAATTTGGAGTAGAATTTTAGGAAGGGATGTAGAATTGAATAGAATTGATTTGGGAATGATATTGAGTTCATAGTGAAATTGAAATTAAACAGAAACATTTATTTCTTTTATGATGACAAACAATATTAATTAATCAGTAACAAATGGTAATGTGGTAGATAAAGTCAATATCTTCGAATATCTTTCACTGAAAGGATCCAATATATCATAGCAGTCATGTGTTTCCAATATTCTACAACTCTTGGGTATGTCAGGTTCACAAACAGCATTTGATGACCTTAATTAATTGAAATAGTCAGATATAGAGAAATGCAGAAAAAAATAGCATTACCATAAAAGATGTAATGCAACACATTTAGAAGTAAGAGTATGAACAAATATGAAGTTTTAATTTTAATGAAAAAGAAGTTTGCTAGAAAATTTATAATAAAATTAAATACAATCATGTATATCATATATCTCTTTCACTGCATTTAAAAAATGTAAAGCTCAGTAAAAAACAATATTATTATTTTACCTGCCCTTTGTTCGCTCTCTGCATGGCGCCTTAATGCTTGAGTTAACTCTCGGGATAATTCTATCAATCCTTCTCTCCATTCGACAAGGAATTCCCTTTCCATAGGACAAGCTAGAATAAGGTTTTTATCATTAATAACTGATGAAGAAATACATAGTCAAATAATGAATAATAAAACTCTTGAACATTGTACTTGTGGCATTAATATCTCTTTGAACATCTACAATCACAATCTGAACAGCTCTTAAAGCTTTCCTTACAAGAAGGGGACTTAAATTCCCCGCTATGATAGAATTCATGTACATGTAGAGGTTTAACAGCTTTTCTGAATTCATTCCTCAACATTAATATTCATGAACACAACAAAAAAAATGTTCACACTACTGTTTGAAAAGACAGCCACTTGTTTTGCAATGCAATTGTTTTAATGTAATTGTTCTAAAGTTCATTGTTATCGAATCTTTGTATTGGTTCGCGGAATAGAGAAGTTAAAATTAAAAAAAAAATATTTTAAATGACTAGCCGCCCTATAAACGAATCTTATGTGAAAAGAGTTTCCCTATCGGTGTTAAAAATACGAAATTTAAATTCGCGCCCTTCGTATTGTGACGTCACTCTGCTTACGTATGCCATCCACTGCGACTTGCGACTTGCGACATGCGACTCTTTCGCTGTGATCGCTGCGGTTAGTCATGAATACTGAGTGTTGGGTTTATTTCCGTTTGTTCCGTACGTTCTTTTCTTTTTTTTTATATGATACTCGTGAAACAAAGTTCGAGAGTAATCATTCCTTTATTCGGGATTGAACACGGAGTCGTTCTCCTTGAACTTAGTCATTTTACCACTGTCTTTTATTCCTATCACCCAGGGCATGGCCATCCTTATAGAGGATGACCATATCCAGTGGCTCGGAGTCGTTCGTAGCCGGAGTTCCAAGACGGTCACCCATTCACGGACCCTGTGACTCGAGCTGCTGCTGATGTAAATAATATTTTTTTCGTATTACTACGTACTTACATAACAAAGAGAAAGAATTGTAATGCTGCAATAGAAATCGGCAGAAAACGACAGAAAAACTCGTATTGAGAGGCCTTGGTATCGCAAAAGATAATAAATACTGTTACTAATTGTGGTTAACTTCCTCTAACACAAATGTAGTCAGAATCTACATTTTATGTATTACTGATATCGAAAAATCGATTCATGGCAAACCTGTCCGTCCGGCCTTCATGAGGGTTCATGACGACTTTTTCCAAAGTTGATATTCCCCGATCGTTCTTAACTGAAAAAGCTCTGCAAGTTTGAAACGGTTATTTTTACTTTACCGTATACGTACTATATAAGGATTTTGAGATTTCAACGGATGTTGTTGTTGTTGTTGTCGTTGTTGTTGTTGTGGTTGTCGTTGTGGTTGTCGTTGTGGTTGTCGTTGTCGTTGTCGTTGTCGTTGTCGTCGTTGTCGTCGTTGTCGTTGTCGTTGTCGTTGTCGTTGTCGTTGTCGTTGTCGTTGTCGTTGTTGATCTTCTTCTTGTTCTTCTTCTTCTTCCTCCTCTTCTGTCTCTTCATTCTCATCATTCTCTTCTGTCTCTTCTGACTCTTCTGTCTCTTCTTTCTCTTCTTTCTCTCCTTTCTCTCCTTTCTCTCCTTCCTCTCCTTTCTCTCCTTTCTCTCCTTCCTCTCATTCCTCTCCTTCCTCTCCTTCCTCTCCTTCCTCTCCTTCCTCTCCTTCCTCTTCTTCGTCTTCTTCCTCTTCTTCCTCTTCTTTCTCTTCTGTCTCTTCTTTCTCTTCTTTCTCTTCTTCCTCTTCTTCCTCTTCTTCCTCTTCTTCCTCTTCTTCCTCTTCATCCTCTTCTTCCCCTTCTTCCTCTCCTTCCTCTCCTTCCTCTCCTTCCTCTCCTTCCTCTCTATTATATGATTAGTTTAACATATAGATTTGTATGTATAATTTTGTTAAAAGACTTATGTTTGCTCACAATTAATCTACTCATTCCGCGGTCATAGATCTCACTCATATGATATCAGGGTTGTAAGTAGTTGTCCGCAGTTTTCCCTGATCCATTGAGCAAAATGCGGAATGGTCCCCTTGTTTCTTGCTTCTGGGACCGTTAAATGTAAGCTTCCTTATTGCCTCACCGTTGTTGTTGACTCTCCTTTTTCTTTGTATGGGTGGTTAAAGAGTAGAGCAGGAAGGGCGAGTTGCTATTCTTGTTAGTCATTGCTAGATATAAATCATACTTGCATATTCGTTAGTGTTAGATGCAGAATACGTTTTCTATTAAAGCTCCGAAGCGAAAATAGACTTATTTCATATATATGCATAATTTTGCGAGATTTATATAATTTCTTATTTTCTATTTTATCTTATGTTTTAACCTTTCACTGCATCTGTCAACTATTTAATTTTCAAAATGATGGGAAGGGCTTCTGGAAACTCAAGAAACGGTGCAACAGATAATGCTTTTCCCTCCTACTACGCACACAATACCAGTTTTTACACTGTTTTCTTTGACTTGAATAAATCTAATTCTAATCTACATACTAAACTATTGATTGGGCAATAACAATATTATAAATTTTGTAACATATGGCAAAAGATTAAAAATTAATGAACCTTATTGCATGGTTACAGATAGATAAAATGAGACTCAGTGGTAGGTTATTTATCGATTTATGACGATTGTAAATTGGCAATGCAAGATAATGTTCATAACTATTGATAAATATCAATTCAAATAGTAGTCAATGTCATATATGATAAGGTATATTAAATAGCTTGGCAAAGGAGGGAGGAAAAATGTGGAAGGGAGGTCATAGAATAAGTAAGGAGAAACTGTGAAGCAAATAAGTAAAGAAATGAAAATCACAAAGATAAGGAGGTAAGAATGCAGACATAATATTGACAGAAGAAGATGAGAGGCTACAGATGAGAAGAGAAATTGGAGAAGACAAGATACAGAAAATTAAGAATATTATGAAGAATAGATCAACCGAGATTATGGTCTCCTCTCATCTGAACTCTTGTGTGCAAACATTCTATGTGGTTAAGTTATCATTACACTCTGCATTGTTAGGCTTTTGCAAGTTATGAAAATTCCAGAGTGTATTAGGTGGTTCAGGAGCCATGGTAAGTTAATAAAATTGCCCCCTGTCAGCGAGGAATACTTCAAAGGAGTGTTTAGTTGTTGCTTTTAGAGTATACTCTTAAAATAGTGCAGCCCTTAGAGTAATCGCAATTAACGACGTCTGCCCTCAATAGCGAACTAAGCCTTATTTAGTGAATCTCTTGTCTGATCAATAGCTAGTACTCTGAATCTTTCTGTAATGTTAATTTTTGATAAATACCTATGAATTTTCGCCAAAATTCGAAATACAAGAGTTTTTTTAATTTTAGTAGTTAATTTCTGAAGTCACTCCCCACCACACACACAGACAACACGTTTGTGGACATGAAATTTCCTCTTTTCCCTGTAGTATGTTTTTTGATTTTCGTAGTATGGGTTTCCTGTTAAGTATTGGTATGTGCAAATGAGGTTTCCCAAGTATGTTAACATGCTATACACGTGAGGACAAACAGAGAAACTCAAGCAATCATGACAACACCAAATATGCCCTGGAACCAATTTAACAGTATCCATAAAACCAGGACAGATCATGAAGCATTATGGGGGCCCGCAGATACAATATGACAGAATTATAAACAAGCATACACTCCAAAAGGAGCAAGATCATTGGAATGACTGAAAGAAAAGATGAGGGATCAAATTTAAAGGCGACAGAAACAGGCCGAATATGGCTCATCCTTGATGTGTCTTCGATGTATTGATGATGATGAATTAATATAATATAATAAATAATAATAATATAATAATAACATACAACAAACCAAAATAATAATCATAATAACTAATACAATAAAACACTACAACAACATTATATCAAATAAATAAACTAATAAATAAATACAACACAATTAAAAAGTAGTTATTATATGGAATATAAAACATATATGGTAACCATTGTAATGCTTAAATTGTAGATTATTGTGACCTGGGTACCTTGAGCAATTTTATGATGCATTGTATCTGTCACATTATTTTTTTTGAAGCTATTGTGTCTTTATTTCTACTGGATTACATTGTGTGATTTGCGTATGAAGATCAGTTTATTTTTGATTGATGGAATGATTCGTTCATGTATAATGTCATAAATCGTAGTAGTGGTTACAATCTCATCCTTGCGCGTCAGACTCGCTTCAGACAGTAGCAAATAATTTAACCTAGTATTATGAGTATTTTTCTGTTTGTTCCCAGTATATTTGACACTTTGTGTACGTTTTGTAAGTAATGACCTATGTTAATTCATAATTATTGCCTCATATATTCAAAATGGTTTTTTAGTTTTTCAAGAAGTAGTTGTTATGTGACACACAGTCCAAAACATTCAATAAGTCCAATAAATGGTACGCTCGCACGTAAAATTATTTTCTAACTATTTATATTTCATGAAATAAAATCAGCAACTGCAGTAATAGGGGATTTAGGCTTCCCTAAATCATATCTGTTCATATTACTTATTACAGTGATCTTTTTTTCCTGGAACATTGAACGTTTCTGACGCTGCTATTACTTCTCGAATTATATTTTAGCAAACACATGACCATAAGAGTTATTGGGTCTATAGTTTCCAAACTTTAGCAGCATTATAGTCTTTCTTAAATATTGGCTCACAAGTAACTAATTTAAGTGAATCAGGAATCAAACACATAAT